ATTTTGTCATATTTTGGAAAGCAACTTTAAGTTGTAGCACCCCATTAAACACTCTTCGAGGATGACTAGAATATATGACTTCCATTCCTGCTGACTTCCACAGATGGTATTTCCTGATTCCAACCTCACTTGAGTCTGAGTTGAGACCTGGACGAGTTTTCTATTGTACAAAGTTGTGTGGAAGGCCTGTCTCAGTTACCTGGGAGACAGTGACTCATGGGAGCAGGTGCTCATGGGGTCATCTGTGCAGAGCTGTGCCCACATACTGCCTTTTGCTGGAACTTCTGGCCTCTCTTCATCATGTCTTTCCCAGGTTCTTACCCATCACACAATCTGATGAATTCAACTTTGGCATCAGCCTTTCCTCTAACCTTCTCTTTGTCAAAGGTGCTAATCAGTAGTGAGTAGACAAACCTGAGCAGCAAGCCAGGGTCAGCTGATCGGCAACCAATTGCTTCCTGAATAATTGAGGCATGGTAAAGTGGGGAGCAGAAACCAATGTTCAGGTTCTGTAGCCACAGTCAGAGCTGTCTACATCCAGCCTGGGATCCACAATCCCAGCTGGCCCCTGTCCTATAGGACAGACCAGGACGGGGAGATCAGAGCCTGTGTGGAGACTCTGGCACTCTCACAGCCCTAGGACCTGAAGCAGAGCTCCCGCTCTGCCCACAGTGGTGATCTACACAGTGGCCCCACCACAAAGCAGCCTGAAAAGGCTCAAGGGATTTCACTGACTCTGAGAGTTCAATGTATTCTCTTCACGGAGTCTCCCATAAAAGACAGTATGCATTTTATTGGGAGAAGAGGGAAAGGAAGATCAAAGTAATAAAAAATAAATCCTGATGCCAAGTGTAAAGTTTACACATTATGTAGCAGTTCACTTGCTCTATGTTCAATAAGCCATTCCTGATAGCATCTGTCAGCACAAAATTCAAGACTTTTCTCTCAGCATAAAACCTGATTCAGAATCTATCATTATTTAAAAAATAAACACTAGGTTTAGGAATAAAAGAATTCCTGCTAAAGTAGCGTTTTCAGGATGGTTTTTCTAAATGTAAATTATAGGAGAGGTCATGAAAAACACAGGCAGTGGTAGGTGGGGTTAATGCTTTCCATTCCAGGGGGATCAGAGGAGGGACATTAGGAAGGTAACACAGAGCCATTCATGGCTCAGCTAAATGCAGCTCCTGCTCAAGCCTAGAGCCACTGGAAGAGTGAACTCCAGACACAGTCTACCTGCTACACTAACAACCTCAGTTGGTAGACAGCCCAGGTGAAGTCAAGTCCTCTTTCCAAGATGGCAGGCGGAATGGAAGATGGAATCTCTGAAGAGGCACAATGTGCTAATAAGCCTGCAGGTTTTAACTGTCCGTGACCACACAATTGGAAGCGCAAACATGAGAAAATGAAGCTCCTCTGGCATTTTGAACGCATGTGAATTATGTGCTTTATGCTGAATCTGAACCTCATTTGCACTTATGGAAACATTTTTGTAAAAGTGAAATTCAAAACAAATTTGAGACTCTTCACAGTTTGATTTCCTTGGCTGACAGAGAAAGGACTCCCCATTTATTTAGTGACTACTGCTTATCAGTGCTGCACTGGAAACTTTTTTTATAAATTACCTCATGGAACCTCACAGCAAGGGAGCTTTCTTGGTAGTGAGTGGACACAATGACATTCGAAAGTCACTGTCATCCAAAGGGGGTTCGTCCTGGGCAAGCAAGCAGGAGTGGAAGAGAAATGTCCAAAGGTAGACAGAGTCATGGTGAGACCTCAACATAGAGCACAGTGGAAATTGTAAGATTATGTTAAAAAGTGATTAGTGGACAATAGTCATCTCCAAAAAGAAACAAAATTCACCCTATTTGCAAAAATAGGAAATAAATACTGAAAGGATTTAAGTATTTAACTGCAAAAAATAAAACCATTCTTTGGGGTTTTTTTGGTGGTATTGGGGTTCAAACTCAGAGCCTTGTACCTGCTAGGCAGGTGCTCTACCAGTTGAGCCAAAACTCCAGCCATCAAAAAATAAAACAATTCTTATCCATCCACATGAACCGCTGGCTAATGAGGCCTGATTTGTCAGCTGAATGTCCGCAGGGAAGGGCTGAGTTAGCTGCACTTTTGGTTGGAAGTTCTCTCCTCCACAACAGCCAGGAGAGTCATAAACACAGGCATTCCCCACATGCTGGGTAAGTGCAGTAAGCCAAGTGACTTCAGAGTGGACTGGCCCCATTTCTTCCTGAAAACTGAAAAGCACACATCCTATTGGATGGCTCTCAGCAAGCCCACCAGAGCAGCACAGCCCTGGCTCCCTGGATTACACTGCATGACTTAGGTTGGGGTCTTTGCATCTCCCATTTCCTCTGTACCCTTCTTTACTCTGAAACACCCCATTAACCTGTAAAGTTCAGCTCAATACCCAGCCTTCCAGTGGGCTACCTGTACCTCATGCAGCCTCCATTGTACCCCTCTGACAATCCCTCGCAACTTCCCTCTCATAGCAAACCATTTTAATTCAATTTTGAACTCCTTGGAGAATAGGATTTTACCCCATTATCTCTGCATCCCCAGTGCTGTGACAACACACTCTTTCTGCAGAATGTTACAGTGGCATTTTTCCATCTGCATAGGCCTCTTGAATATTAGCACTCATTTGCCTTATGTCATATCGGTCCTCTACTGCTTTGCTAAAATTTTGCAGCATTTTGAAATTTTTCTCATGTTGACAAGCAATCTCAGAGCCTTCATGTGTCACTAGGGAGTGCAGTTAGTTTAAAGCACAAATCCACACAAAGTGGCTTCATGCAGAGGTTGAATGCTTAGGTAATGGGGGAAAAGGCAAAACACCCAATGATGCCCAAGGAGCCATGGCATCACCTGGATTCTTTCAATCCTAGCCTCCAAGATTCCTTTCTTCCTCCCCACATCTTTCCTCCCTGGACAGCCACGTTCCAGGAATTGGGCCACAGTGGAGATGATCCTCAGGTTTAGTTGAGGCAACTGTCCCAGCCTGTCCTCCTAAGATGACTGCACAGATCCTCTGAGCTGGCTCTTCTCCATCCTTCTCAAACTGCACTAAGTTGATCTTTTTGTTCTAAAATACTCTTGTGTAAACTACTCCACTCACTCATGCTCTGGAAGTAACCATGCCCTCTGTCCATCTGGACCCACCTTGACCCTCTGTTGTCCCCTCAGGTCTCACAGCATCCCCTCCTACTCTGCATGTGCCCTGAATGCCAGCCATGCTCTCTGGTCTCCTCCATTTCACCACCTGCTTCTGCCACCTCCTAGGCCTGCAGTTTTTAAGAAAATGGATCCATCCATCCATCCATCCATCTGTTCATCCATCCATCCATCTATTCATACATACATCCATCTGTCCATCCGTTTATCCATCCATCCATCCATCTGTTCATCCATCCATTCCTCCATCCGTCCATCTGTTCATCCATCCATCCATCCATCCATTGTGCTTCAAGTGTCTTCATGCAAGGCAGAATTACAGGTTTTTTTTTTTTCTTCCTTCCACACATCATGATTCTTAAGAGTCACGACCTTCCCCGAGGATCTTCCCTTAGTATCCAGTCACTATGGGCTCTTCCTTTTCTGAAATTCTTCTCATATTAAGTCAGGTACATTATTATATCTGCAATATAATATCCAAGCTTATATAACATATAAGCTCATTAAGTGAGCTTATGCATTTTTATCCCCGATCCCACACTTGGCACAGGATTAATAAATGAATATTTGGTGTTAGTTGACATGAACACTTTATCTGGGGCTGTGCTGTGGTTTCATGATGCCTCAGCATCATGCTTGCTGAGAGGCAGGACCTCCTTGTGCCTCTCCTCATGAGTGTGCTTAGTAGGACCGTGCATCCGATCAGAGTCCTCTTTGCTCTGTTCTCACTTTTCTTTTCATAAACCATGGCAGAAGTGGCTTTGATGCCTGATGTGATGGGCCGGGCATGGATGACTTTTTATAATGGCCCTGTCTTCTGCCCAAGAATGAACCTTGGCCATGTTGGGGAAGGCAAAGAAGTCAAAGGTGGCCTTAGAACATTACCCTACTGTAACCCAGTCAGGAGCAGTTAACATTTTACCCCTCTGTCAATCGAGAAGTAGTCAATGTATGTACAGAATGAATATATACCCAACTATAAGGTATTCATATGTTGTGGAAAGACATGGTGAAGAATACCGTAGTATATACACACCACGAAGCTGTGTGTGCCTGTGGTTTAAGGAGGACATTTACAACAGATGTGATTTTGAGCCCCCCAAAACTTTCTATTCAGATAACCTAGGCACGTCACATAGTCTGAATTTTAGCTTTTTCATGCATAAATATAATTACAATTTTTACTTAGAAGACAGTTGTGAGGATCCTACACAGTGATACATGGAAGCACTTTGATGTCTCTTGGGTGTAAGGTGTGTCTGTTACCGTAGGTAAAGGATCCAAGTACCCAGATCAGTGTGGCCAATTACATTTCAGAAATTAGACAACGCTGAAAGACCCCAACAGAAAAATGGCCTGCTGTGTCCTTCTGTCCTCTTAACACTCTTTATATTAAGCCTTTCAGTTACGAGGAGACTTTTTTGCCTTCTTGTAAACTTAACAACTATCTATTATATTCTTGGTACAAAGTACAACTCAGAATCATCCAGACGTGTCCTAATCAAAACCTTGAAAAGAGAGCAAATAGATTTGCCCTTCAAGATGCATCAGGATCTATCTGCTGTGGGGGGCAGAAGCCTCCTGATGAAATGTTCCCTGTGGGATCCAGGTCTGCTTATCATTTTTAAGTAACGCATCTAGATTGCCTGACCCGTGTCGGACCCACCCCGCCCTTGTGGAGGCCTTCCTTCACAGAGCAACACGGGATTAAAGGCCTGTCCGTAGAATGCCAGGGACAGCGAGCGGCTCCACGCACGGCTAGTCTGCACTTGCAGGATAAGGACATTGACCGCCTGCTAATCTATCCCCAGATGGACGTGGACACTGAGGAGAAGCGTCACCGCACACGGTCCAAAGGGGTTCGAGGTATGTCAACGAGTCCCTGCATCCTCAAGGCCGGCTTGGGTCACCTTCATCCTGCAGAATTGCCTTGGCAGTTCACGCTGCCCCTCCCCAACTCCCAACCCCCAACACTGCGCTCTGGGTAATTTTCTGTGGAAAAGGGGTACTTGTGATAGGTGATAAATTTTTATCTATTTTCCATCTCTCTGCAGTTCCCGTGGAACCAGCCATACAAGAGCTGTTCAGGTTAGTGCTCTGTGGGTAAAACGTATCCTCACTAGCAATTTAGAAAATCCTTGCCTTTTAATGGGTGTACTGTACTTCTGAGCTCATCGGCAGCTCGCTCACACCCTGCTGCACTGATGAAATTAATTCCCCTCAAGACTTGCAAATAAAAACGCATCCCCGTGGCACCCCCTCGGTGCGTGGTCTCCTCTCTCGCTCCGGGCTGCCTCCTCCTCGCTGATTCCCATCAAGGCTCGCCTTCCTACAGCAGCGCCTGCACCTGTGTAACCCGCTCTTTCCCGTTACAGCTGTCCCACTCCTGGCTGCGACGGCAGCGGTCACGTCAGTGGCAAATATGCACGACACAGAAGGTAATGCCTGCCTTTTCACAATGTGCTTCTAAGGTGACTTATGCAGAGACCCCGTCCACATGGCGAGGACTGTGGTGGGGTTCTCAGCAAACGATGCATGTCACGCTCTCCCTTTTCTCACTTCTCCGAGTTTTCTGGGTTCGTCAAAAGGACTCAGGCTTTTGTCCCTAGTACAGGTTCTGAATGCATGAGCCACTCCAACCCCTCAGAGGCAGAGTTGCTGGTAATACCTAGTGTGTCACCAGTTCAGACCAGCCTCAAAATCCCTGTGTGCATGGTCAGGGCTCAGCATGCAGACACCAGCAGCTTCCCGCTGCTTTATGGGGAAGGTCTACCCCTCCATCCTCATTCTCTTGTTGCTTGCTGCAGGATGGTCAGTCTTAGAAGATGAATTAAAATGTGGCCTGCTGGCCTATCTGCCGGACCCTGGGTCCTGTCATTTAAGAGAGCTCATGTGGGAAACAAAGCCCAAGCTTGGCACCTGGGCAGCTGCAGGGTGGGGCCACATGGGGTGAACGTCAGGACAGATCTCACCAGTGAGACAAATGGTTCTGTTATTCTCGCCAGTACTGGGACTTCAGGTCCCTGATGGTGACAGGTGTGGAGAACACCTAGAAGGTAAGATGCTAGAGATGTATCCCAGCAAGTGTCTCTTCCCTGTGGGCAGCTGTCCGCCCAGGTTTGTCCCCACATCTGCTGCAGTAGGCAGCACTGTCCTGGCTTACAATGTGAATGCAGTTGGACCTTTTCATGGGAAGGGTTGAGGCACCTTGGTGAGAGAGTTTCCAGGCTTTGATGCGTTTCTATTTCTTTCTTCACAACTCACGTTGAAGGTCATTGCAGTCTAGCAAACCCTCTGTGGTCACAGCTCCACTCTGAATCCCGGGAGGCTGGGGCAGCTCAAGGTGGCCGCTCCTCACTGCCTCATGTCTTTTTAGTAGGATATTAATTCATGGGTGAAATCAAGCAATTACTTTGATTGTCCTTTAATAAAATCAAAGGAAAAGTCACAAATTACTCCCCAAGTGCCCACGCCTCCATCGAAGGAGGCAGGGTGTTTTTTTTTTTAGTGAACATTGATCATGAAATGGTTGCTTGACTTCCTCTGTAACAGACCAAAGGAGGGACAGGCTACTTTTCCAGGGAATTTTGTGATATGTTATTAAATTTAATTATTCTTACTGTAAAAAATAGTGAATTCCTGAGTTGTGTCACTGAAATAAGTAGTTCAGTATTGTGTCATTGCCTTGTGAAGAAGAATGTATGTAAGCTCTTGTAGAAGTTTAAAAGGCCAGGTTGTGTATTCAACAGAAACCGGTTAGCAAACCATGAGCAAAATCGATTTTTCTTCTGATTGTCTCTTGATTGTCAATAAGTTAGATTTTGTCATACTGCTATGAAAAAAAATGATTAAACTAAAAAGTTTAATTGGGTCTGAGCTAGATGTAATTTCATAGCCACAGTTGTGCAGAAAAATCATGAAGTTTCTAAAGAATGATTTCGAACATTCTTATTGTTTTAATTTTGTTGACACATAATCCTTGTGCATATTAACAAAGGACAGTGCAACATTTCACCAGGCTACAACATGAGCTGATCAAATCAGAGGATTAGCATCTCACTGTTCTTGTCATTTCTTTGTCACACATGCATATCTTAACCAAGTCCTTTCATCTCAGATATCACACATTGATATTCTTTTTCTGGTGTTACTGGGGTTTGAACTCAGGGCTTCATGCTTGCTAGGCAGGTGTTCTACCACTCGAGCCACACCACCAGCCCAAGTCATTGATACTCAGCTCAGGTACTGATGGTGCATCCCCGTGATATGTGCTGTGTGTGCATTTTTGATCACAAGATCTGTTTCTCTACTGAGAGATGGCATCAGAGTGAGATTTGAAAACAGGTAGGCCTCACCTTCCTCACCCTGATGGTGACGTGAGCCCACAGAAGCTTGGGCATCCTCAAGCGGTACTCAGGAGGAATGTTGGGAAGGACACAGAAACCCCAGGAGGAAAGGTATCTAGCAAAGACCTAGCTTCCTTTAAAATAACACCGTCATTTTTACCATGACTAATATTACAGGGAATTATTAGGGTCCTTCATATTTTAATAGAAATAAATAGTTTATTAAGATATAACGTGGTGTAGCTGGAAATGAACTATGTTCCATTCTGGAGACTCTGGGCCACTACTTACGGGGTGGGGGGGTGGCGCTCAGGACAAGCTGCCATGGCAGTTTCAGGCTTTGCTGCACAAAGCCAAGGCCATTCTAGGTGATGTCACTCTGAGCCTTTCTCGTGAAAATCTTCTTGGTGCTGAGAGTGGTTCTCTGAGTTGCCCTTTTTGATGTGTCCACACCATCAGTGATTTTTAACTAAAGGATGACATTTTAATTTCTTAAGGTGAGAAATGCTCCTTTCTGTAACAGATAAGACTCTGTATTTTACCATCTCTTGACTGGCTCCTTCAAGGTGGGAAGACTTCGATTGTGTCTGGCTTTGATTTTCTGCCAGGGCGGCTGTGGCGCTGATGTCTGGGGAAGGAGTCTCATGTGGCTTGGGTTGCAAGGCCTTGTCAAAGGTGACACGTGGGCGGGAGCTGCAGCCTTGGTTTTGGTGAGGGGACCTGTCCTTTTTTTTTAGTCTGTCAACAATACATTTTTCACCAGATGTGCTTATGTCAAGGCTGCAATTTCGCCTTGCTCATGTATCCCCTCAGTTCATGGTGTCATTTCAGGATGTTGACATGTCTATTTAAAAAAAAATTAAATTAAAAAAAATTAAATTTTAAATTAAATATTAAAAGATAATTTAAGGAAGATGTGGAGAATCAACAACAGGAAAAAAAACTCAGTGTTTGGGGGAAATAATTACCAGTGCTAAAATGACGCCTACTGAGAAAATTCCTATGGAAATAAAGTACTTACCGCAATTTTAGCTTACTGTCCTGGTGCTCAGTAGGGCACACAGCACATTGGCCCCACATGGTCAATCAGTGTCTTCATGGAGTACTGGTCCTTCCCCAAGAGCTGCTGGGCTGGAAAGGATGGGTTTTTTTCCCCATGTGATGAAAGGAGAGTCATGATTTGTAGGAAATGGGGATGGAGGAGAATCAACCACCAGATGAAACCTGAGAAAGGAAATAATAACTTGAAAGAGGAGTTCACAATTCAAGATCCTGGTTAAAATTTTTGGAGTAAGAGTAAGGCTATAATATTTATTTTTTGATGTTTTACATTAATTCCTTTATTTTGTCTTTACAAAAATAATCTATTTTTGGTATTGTGTTAATAATTCAAAAACAATTTGCAGCCACTGGGAAACCTATGTTAACAACTGCCCAGTTAAATGTTAAATCAAAAAGATAAACTAGTATAACGCAAAGTAAATGAAAACACGGTTTTATCAGGAATGCAGGACACACCATGCTTCATGTAGTCTTGCCTTTCCTGTGAGTCTCCTAGCAGCCAGGGCAAAACATGAGAAAGGTAAAGACAGCCTTACAGTTGTCCAGTGCAAACACGACAGCAGTCCCTGAGGGAGGCGCCCTCCCTCAGCGCTGAAGGTAAAGGTGCTTGAACATCCAAATATTATCAGCAAGGATTCACTCTCAGCCTGAAGCTGTCAGGTGCGTGTGTGTCAGGGAAAAGCGGAATATCTAGAAGTCACAAATGTGGCACTTAGCGAGTTGCTGCGTGCGCTCCCCCTGACCTCCCCTGCAGGTCTTCTTCCCTGGGTGAGGGCATGAGGACTCCCAACCCAGCCTGCGACTCCAGGAGAACAGCACGTGCTTCCAGACTCCAGCAGAGAGGGGCCCACGGGGCTGGCTGGGGTCTCTGCATTTCCTGGTAGTGTCCCCCAAACTGAAGATGGATACCATGAGGATGGGGGGGCACGCGTCACCTGCATCCAGGAATCTGATCAGGAGGTGTTGTTAGCCCAGGATATTCTGTGAACTGGCACTGACAGAGCTAAAAGCCCAGTATCTGTGCTTTACCACGCCATCTGTCTTTACCTGCAACATACTGCCTACTTTTTTGTTCTAAAAGGGTTTTTTTTTTTTTATTTTCTCAAAAAATTAGAAATAAGAAAAATCAAATCTTGTTAAATTTACTACAGAGTAATAGTAAACAATGAGCAGGAACTGGACTTTTAGCCCTAAACTGAAACTTGAAATTAATTGGATTTTACTTACTTTTAAATGACTTTTCATGAGCCTCCAGTGCATCACAGATAGAAAGACAGAGAGACAGAAAGAGAGAGAGAGACAGATAGACAGAGGGAGAAGGGCAGAGCAAGATAGACATACAGATGGACAGACAGACAGAGAAGAACTCATAGCACTGATTCATCTTCATGTACCTATTTTGTGACCCTCCTTCAATTGGTTTATGACATTTTGTTTACACTTACCCTTCAGTGAAATTTTTGTTACTTATTTGTTGAGCATAGAGGCTGACAAAACGTGTGACCCCTAATTTAACTTTAGCATCTTTGACCAGTGGACAAACCCCCAAAACTTAGTGATTAGAATTTTCTTATACTTAAACCTTCCCCAACTCAGAAAACACTGAGCTAGATCATTCAGCTTGCAACTTCAAAATTAAAAGCCTCAAATGGCAGCTCTCCTTTTTAATGGAGAATGACTGGATTCTCTCTGGCTCCTTGTGTGAAGTCCTGCTCAGATTTTCTTCCATTTCATGCACCTTTCTTCCCACCGGCGTGATTGCCAGGGCGGCAGGCGGGTGAATAATTGCCTGTCTTCACACAGCTTGCTCTGCAGCTAAAGTGGAGGGTGGCTTCCTGATGTGTGCACGCCTCATTTGGATTCTGCCAGCAGCCTTGGGGCGATATTATTCATGCCCTGACAGAGAGCACTCACTAAAAGCTTTGGAGCAGGGCCAGGTACTGGCTGAGAGAGAGTGGAGCATTGAGACTTGCAACTGAGAGGAGCATCCAAAATCCAAAAAAAAAGAAACAGAGGAAGACAGAGAAGCA